ACACACACACACACACACACACACACAGGGCTGTTAAATTTATTTGGGTCTAGAGTTCGCAGAGTTCAGACAGTGAGGGATTCCTGCATATGTAGAACAGAGGTTCACAATCCGGGTGATTCTGTCCCCCACCCCCAAGGGGACACTTGGCTGACCACTCATCCACCCACCCAACCATACACCCATCCATCCATCCATCCACTTGCTCACCCAACGAACATTCATCAAGAACCTTCTGTCACACGAGGCACTGTTGCAGGTGCAACGGCTGCACAGAGGCCTCTCTGAGCCTCTCCCGGCACTGGCCTGCGTGTGTGTAACTAAGAACCAGCTCGTGTGCATACCTGCCTTTGCACAATGACCTTCTTTCTCAAAGGTCATCCACAGCATCATTACTCTCATTGCTAATGACAAGTGTCTGTTCGTTGAGTGCTGGCTCTGTGCAGAGCCATCGTGTGAGGCTGGTGGCTTTATTCCAATTTTACAGGTAAGTAAACCCTGCCTCAGAGAGGTCGATTAAGTACAGCTGGGACTCATGCCCAGGTCTTTCTCAAGACCTTAGGTGTCTCTAGCAATAAATTCTGAGGGTTTGAATCCATTTACCAACTGGGTAACCTTGGCAAGCTAATTAATCTCTCTGTGCCTCCGTTTCCTCATCTGTAAAATGAGAATACCACCACCAACCTGATGGGGTTTGTTGTGAGAGAATGCTTGTTCAATGCTTGGAGCAGCACCTAGAAACAGTGGCAATGTCACTGCTCATGAGGTTCCTCCCATCACCCCGTCTTCCTCCTGCCTCCCGTCCTTAAGCAAGTTCCAAACTACCCATTCCAACTTCGGCTTTGCTCCAGCATCACTGCTACCACCCTGGTCTTTGAGCCACTACCATCTTGTCCCCAGAGGTCTACAACAGCTACCTCATGGTCTCCAGACCTGCACTCTTGCCTCCAACCAAACCATTTTCCAATGGCAACCAGAGGGACCACATAAAATCACGTCATTAGATCATGTGACAGCCTAGCTTGAAATCTTCCACTGGTTCCAGGTGCAAATTCTCGTGCTCCACGGGGCTCTAATGACTTCTCTGGCCTTATCCCCCCCCCACCTTATTTGCATTCCTTGGACTGTTGTCCTGTGGGTGAATCATGTCTCCTCCCCTCTGATTTCACTGTGACAGACTCGTCACAGAGCCAGCACACAATGGGCACGTATGTGTGGCTGGGTTCATTTCTTCATTCATTTATTCAATAAACATTCACTGGGTGCCCGCTATGTGCCAGGGGCAGCAGGGACAGAACAGACAAAACTCCCTGCCCTGCTGGGGTTTACATTATGGTGGGGAGAACGAGACAGTAAAAAGGAGCACACACAGCTGGTCAGACGGTGGCAAGTCCTGTGCAGAAAGACATAGCAGGAAGAGGGCTGGGGCTGCAGTTGGAGATGAAATGGCTGGAAAAGGCCAGAGGGAATAAATAGGGTGACCAACTCATCTCAGTTCCATCCAAACTGTCTCAGTTTTAAAACGGAAAGTCCTGCATCCCAAGAACCCCTTCAGCCTGGGTAACCTGGGACAACTGGTTACCTTAGCAGTGAGTCTAGAAAAGTATCTGGCACAGAGTAGGTGCTTGACAAATATCTGTTGAAGGTACAACTTTGAAACGGTAAGAGTACAATGCACTCTCACCAGGGTCTCAACCACACTGCTGAGGAAGGGACCCGTACCACCCCCATGTCACAGCTGAGGACAGGAGGAGGACTGCAGAGAGGAAGTCACTAGCTGGGGCGGGACCCAGGCCTGTGTCTGACTCGTTCTACAAACAGTGTTTCCATCTTGAGTCTCTCAGAGGCCAGGAGGCTCCTCGCCCCTCGTCACCCACCCCCAACTCCTGCTTGTCTTTCCTCTGCATATAGAGATGATCAGGAGCCATCTTGGCCCCATGTCCTTCTGGATGTCAACTCTGGACTGGCCCCACGCCCTACTCCATAACAACAATAGCAAAAAAAAAAGATAATAGCAAACATTTATCAAGTGCTCACTCTGTGCTAAGCATATATTAACTCGTTTACTCCACTGAGTGCTACACCACCCCACTAAACATCTGTTGATGGAAGGAAGAAACTGGTTGCTCAAGGTTATACAGTAAGGAGCGAGCCTGAAAGTGAAATCATGGCTGTTCACGGCCAGAGCCCAGGCTGACTTCTGCCATGCCGGCCCTTGCTAACGTTACTCCCCCTTCTTTCTACCTACCCACTGGTCCTTTTTGAATGGATACAATATCCACTCCTCCAGAACAAAAAGGTAGACCTTCCCAACCTCTCGTGTGCTTATGACTCATAAGACAAAAGGCTAATTTTCCTAATATGTAAAGAGTTTCTACAAAGAAACAAGAAAATGACCAGTGACCCAAAATTTTAAAATGGCAAAGGGTATGAACAGATAATTTCATAGAACAGAACGTACAAATAGCTCAATCTGTGAAACTCTTGCCTGACCCTGGCCACAATAAAGGAAACACAGATTATTTTACTCCATGGAGGGCAATTTAGCAATACCTGTCAAAATACAAACACATATGCCTTCAGACCCAGCAATTTCTCTTTTAAGAACTTATCCTACAAAATGACATTCATACAAAGTTATTCTTTGTAGCTTTGATCATAATAGCTAAAGGTCAGCAGTGACTAAAAAGCCCAACAAGGACTGGCTAAATAAATAAGAGTGCATCCGTACAATGAAATACTATGAAGTCATATAAAGAATGAAGAAATATAGTGAAAATGACTATACTACCCAAAGTAATATACAAATTCAATGCAATCCCCATC